TGACTAATGGGTGGAGACCATATACAGCCTGGAGATGCTGGACAAAAAGAGATGATTCACATCTCTCCCAGGCAGGACAAAGCAGAGTAGTATATATTTTCATCACATTACTCAGAACAGCATGCAATTTAAATTTTATGAATTGTTTATTTCTGGAATTTTCCACTTAATATTTTAAGGTTGTGGTTAAACACAGATAACTGAAACCATGGAAAGCTAAACTGTGGATAATAGGAGACTGCTATATAGAGAGCAGATGAGAATTGTGGAGAAGAATGACGCCTTATATTTCTTTTTTATGTGTGCATTCTCTACAAGATTAGTGTACAACATCCTGGAATAACATTGCTTCATTCAACATCATTTTGTTATAACGTTGATGAGATGCCATAGAAATTTAATTCTTGTTTATATCAATTAACCTGTATAAAATTAGTTTTGTTATAGGTTGTTCACTTTAAGTCACAAGACCTATACAATGTTAAATGACTATTTAACTATAGAAAAGTTGTTTAGAGAAATGACTGCCTGCTTCTGTACAACAAATTATGTTGTAAAAGCAATTTTAGTTTTTTTTTTTTCTTTAGACAGAGCTAGGATATCCAGATAACCACATGCAAACAAGATATTTAGAATCCGTATGAAAAAAAGTCTGAATTGACACATCTTATTTGGATAAATATAGCAATAATCAGGAATAAAATTAGTAAATATGGAATTGGAAAGTGAGATGATTTATTTATGTGTATGAAAATAAAGGCTGTGAAACAGATAGAAAGGGAAACTAAATGCACCGAAAATAAATGCAAAACCTCACAAAAGTAGACAGTTTGCCAAAGACAGATAAATTAAATTTACAAGATACTCAGAATGTGCCAAAAGTGATATAGATAACCTCATCTTCCTTTTTTTTTTTTTTTTTTGAGGATTCCAGATTATATTGAGAAAGATTAGACGTGAGTTTTTTAAGATTTTGTAAAGAGAAGCAAAATTATCAAGTTTGTGCAGAGGGTAAAAGCTCCTGGTGTCTTAGCTGAGCTGTTCAGAATTTGAGGATTAAATATATACCTCAACAAGTAGTTTTAATGGAGTATGGGCAAATGAGAAATGACATACATCATGATGCTCAATTTCCAGTATAAAATACTTGTGGGAATGTTTGAAACACAGAAGTGCTTGTAAATAAGCCAAGACATTTTTATTTTTATTTTATTTTATTTTATTTATTTATTTGACAGAAGAAAACAAATGATTGCTTTAGTCTGAATAAGCCATGATTATCTTGCAAAATATTATCTACATATATCTCAGAGAAGAAGATTAAAAATTATTTGATGAATAAAGTAAAATATGGCAGATCCAGTACTTAGTCTCATTTCATTGGTATTGTAACATCTCTCTTTTTAGCCAATACCCAAGGTGTAATAAATTCACAAGATAAAGGGGTGCTGACAGCCCTATTTCCCCACCATTGTCACAAATCCATATATAACTTGATGCCTCCAAAAACTTAATTACTAATAGTCTACTGTTGACTAGAAGTTTTACGTATAACATAGTTGATTAACAGGTATTTTGCATGTTATATGTATTATATACTATATTGTACAATGAAATAATCTATAGGAAATAAAATGTTATTAAGGAACACATAAGGAAGATAAATTTGCTAGTGGAAGATAAATTTGCTTTTATTTGCTAGTGGCTATTAATTCTTTAAAAGTGCATATTCTTCACCCAGCTAATGTTGCTCAGTTGTTGAGCCTCGACCTATGAACCAAGATGTCATGGTTCAATTCCTGGTCAGGGCACATGCGTGGGTTTTAGGTTCGATCCCTAGTGTGGGGCATGCAGGAGGAAGCCGGTCAATGATTCTCTCTCATCGCTGATGTTTCTACTTCTTTCTTCCTTTTCTTTTCTCTCTGAAATCAGTAAAAAATGTAAAATAATAATTCCTATGTACATACAAGCCAAAAATAGATATCATACACACACACACACACACACACACACACACACACACCTAGAAATACATTTGATCTTTGAACAACATGGGTAAGGGGTGCTGACAGCCCTATTTCCCCAGCATTGTCACAAATCCATATATAACTTGATGCCTCCAAAAACTTAATTACTAATAGTCTACTGTTGACTAGAAGTTTTACGTATAACATAGTTGATTAACAGGTATTTTGCATGTTATATGTATTATATACTATATTGTACAATGAAATAATCTATAGGAAATAAAATGTTATTAAGGAACACATAAGGAAGATAAATACATTTGCAGTATTTATTGAAAAAAATACAGGTATAAGTAAAATCATGCAGTTCAACTCCATGTTGTTCAAGGGTCAATTATATATGTACTAGAAGCCCGATGTACTTAGATTCATGCAAGAACTGGCCTTCCTTCTCCTGGCTGCCAGCACTGCCTTTGCTTTGGCCAGAGCTGCCTTTCCCCTTTCCCATGCTGCCCAGAAGCCCTGAGCAGCTGGGACAGTGTGGAATGCCTGCATCGTCACCATGGTGATGATGCAAGTGTTCCATCCCACCCGGGGCCACTCAGCACCTATGTATGCAAATTGACCTGCCATCTTTGTTGGATTAATTTGCATACTCACTCCTGATTGGCTGTTGGGTGTCACGAAGGTATGGTAAATTTGCGTCTTACTCTTTTTTAGTGCAGATACTAGAGGCCTGATGCTTGAAATTCATGTAAGAGTAAGCCTTCCTTCCCCCATTTCCTGGCACCAGATTCCCTCTGGCACCTAGGCCCTGGGCTTCCTTCTGGCTGCCAGCAGGCACCTGGGACACAGGCTTCCCTTGCAGCCCGGGTTTCGTCCAGAATATTGTCAGTCTAATTAGTATTTCATGCTTTTAATATTATAAATTAGACTGTTAAAAGTAGTTACTCCTGGTACTTAGAAGAGGTGGACTTTTACTTTTCTATTATATTTATATTCTTTCATATTTTTATAACAAGTAGACATTTAATTTTTTAATCTGAAATTTAATTGAGGGAGAAAAAAAAAGCAAGCCCTTGGGAGCCAACCTCCCCCCGCCCCCCAAACCTTGATTTAATTCCTTTTGTCTTATTTTGGCTTGTACAGTTTACCACAAATAAATTCTATAGGTATAATTTATTTTATTATTGGGAGAAGTTTCACAAATAAAGTTCCTGGTTTCTAGTAAGCTTGTCAGAAAATTATAATTCTTCCCATTGTGACTACATGGCTTTGCAATACCAAATTGTGGTTTATGGGGAAATTTTAGTTTGTTCATTTACTAATTGAACATTTATTAAATTCCAAACAAGTGCCAAGCAGTGGGGAATTTAAACATGCTAGTCCCTCAACTCTTCTAGCTGATGGTTCCTTCCCTCCTTCTGTATTGATTGACCATCCCATCAGGTCCACAGTGCTTTCATTCAGTACTTCCCAATGCTCATCTACATTTGAAAGGCAACCCCCTTACACTTATTGCAATTTAGACTGCATATATGAATTTTCAAAAAGCTACTTCTTGCTTCTGCATTAGAATATTCCCCTAAAATTGGCATCTCTTTCTACATCGACTTTTAATAAGTAACAGGAATAGGAGATGATTTAACAATGAAAATAGCGAGGGTGGGTATATAATGTTTATGTTTATACAGGAAAGGGTCATTTATGAAAGATTTGATATTTGTGAACAAAAACATATCTCAATCACTATTAGAGAAAATATGATACATGTGTATGTTGTATAAATATATGTAAAATAAAAAATATATATATCTCCTGAGAGAAATTGGCTGGATCATATTATCTCTTTGAAGTCTCAGTTCTGTAGATCCAAGCATTTCTTTAAAAAGCAATTTAAAAGTTATTATGAGAAAACATTTAGACTGAGGTTTATATTACATACATATGTGTAGGATCAATATTTCTAAAACTGCATTTTTTGGTATGTCATGCCTTTTGCTTTGTAAATCCATGAAACACAATTTTAAATAAAAGTTTTATTTAAGGTCATTAAAAAAGGAAGGGGCAGAGTAATCTTTGCTGTTAGTTCCTGTTGTATTACATTCCATATTATATTACATTCTATTATTAGAAAGTAATTTGTATGAGTATCTTATGATTTTTTATAAAAATACATTCCAATTTTTGAAACTGCAGACTCAATATTGGCAAAATTTTCATTTTAAGCCTCACTATTAGATTGTGTATTTCTGCTTTTTTGTGTGCATTTACTCTCCTATTATAAACTTAATGTGTTTCATTCTCCCTAGAGAGGACCAAAGAAGCAACTGCCTAGTTGTTCTGTGGTTGCTAGCCTATTAATTCCCCACTAGACTTTAGATATTTGGGAACAATTATGTCTCCTGTGCTTCTTTTTCTAAAGATAATTAAATCCCAAACTTGAAAGATAATTGATCAAGCAGCAGCAATGCACAGAGTACAAGGATACCTAAGATACCATCCCTATTCTCAAAGCGATGAAACATTCAATTTGGTAGAAAGGAACTCCTATCTTGCAGCCAACACAAATGCTCTCTACCTTTATTTCTCAAAAACAAACAAATAAACAACTCCTCAAACAAAAACAATGTATCTCAGTAAGGTTTGTAAAAGGATTCTTAATAAATATATTATTATAGAAAATAATGGTAGTCTAACACCATTATGGGGAAATGAAAGTATACATGGTAATTGTTTTCCAAAATAAGGTAAAAGCCAATGTTTGTGTAAAAAAGTGAATGAATATAGCTTTCTCCTTATTTGTCCTTAATTTAAATTAGTCTTAATGTTGTATTTTATCTACAGTGAATTAAATGTAATAAAATATCAAGTAAGCTGTTCTGTTTTTGTGTTTTGTCTTCTGAGTAATCTATTGTCTTTACTTTCCAAATAGATGGCACTCACATTAATATGTAAACAGAATTTTAGCACATGGAGATTTGTATACCCATTTTACCTTGATTAGTGGTGCAACTCATGTTCTTGTTGTAGGGCTTTGACCAGCTTCGACATGATGGCTTGCTTTGTGATGTGTCCCTGATGCCAGGTGATACGGATGATGCCTTCCCTGTGCATAGAGTCATGATGGCCTCTGCCAGTGATTATTTCAAGGCTATGTTCACAGGTAGGTTGCCTTTTGGAACTCTGCATCCATGTTACAACAATATGAAAAAATATGTGTTCAAGTTTTTTTTTTATTTCTAAAGTGCATTCAGGTCTTTTGGTCTGTGTCTTTATAAGAAGAAATGGTTTAAAAGGGAATATACAAGTAAGTGTGGTTGTGGGTAGTGCTTTTTAAACTTGAGAAATGTAGGTACCTTTTTCATACTTCCGTCCTCCTTTATTTCACTGTTTTTATTCCCCCTAGACATATATATGAATGGGCATCAGAGACTCTGGGTCCCACTACTAGAATCTTTCAGTCATCAAAAGATACAAAGTGACAGGGAAACATTAGTATAGAAATACTCCTTTTAAGTACACTCTTTTAATTTTAAATTATGCAGAAGCCAAACTGACATGAATGCTCACACAGAATAAGACTTGTTTTTATTTTATTGTATCTAATTAGCAGCAGAAGTGAGTTTGACCTTAATTAAATGATCTGTTTTCATTTAATTGAATGTCTTTTTATTTAAGGTGGAATGAAAGAACAAGATTTAATGTGCATTAAGCTTCATGGCGTGAGCAAAGTTGGTTTAAGGAAAATTATTGATTTCATTTATACTGCAAAACTTTCTCTTAATATGGACAACCTTCAAGATACACTGGAAGCTGCCAGTTTTCTACAGATTCTGCCGGTTTTGGACTTCTGCAAAGTGTTTCTCATATCTGGGGTAAGACATTTTCAAATCCTCAAATCCTTTTCTGCAATATACTCTGATATCCCCTGTTTAGAGAAGACTTATGAATCTTTTGTTTACACATGTAAAACTTTGGCTATTAGAGAGGAGTGTTACATAGTATGTGGTTTGGAAACAAGTCGAGAGGAAAGCAGTACAGCTGTATATCTATAAAAGACAGTCATTTAATAAAAGCCTTCTGTATAATCAGATGACACCAGACAGTAATAATATTTGATAACAATATATACCTTAATCTTTTTGACAATCTATACTAATACAAAGGTAATATGCTAATTAGACTAGATAGACCAGACACCTTCTGGACATCCTTCCTGACACCCTTCCAGACAATGCCACAGTGGCTGCGAGGGCAGAGAGTCAGCAGCATGTGAGAGGCGGCGGCATTGGAGAGGCAGCAGAAGAAGGGGCTGTGTGGTCCTGGTCCCAATGCTGTCCTTTTCTCAGAGGCAACCATAGAGGCAGCAGCGCGGGCCTGATCCCAGCACCATGCCTTCCGTAGATGTTGGACAGGGTGCAACCTACTATGCCTCAACCTCCCAAAGCTCCTCCCACAACCAGCCTGGCCCCAGATCACTCCCTGTCTACCAGTGGGCGGGGCCGGGGCCAGCACTAAGAAGTGAGGGCTGAGGAACTGTGGTGGCTGGAGTGGCAGCAGCGGCTGGATGATGGGGACAGCACCTTACCCTGATTGGGTCTGGTTGCCTCCCACAAAGGGAGGCCAGACTATGGCTTAGGACATCCCCTGAGGGCTCCTGGACTGTGAGTCTCAGGCTGGTCTGAGAAATCCCCTCCCCCAGTGAGCGAATTTTTGTGCATCCGGCCTCTAGTCTATAATAATAAAAGGGTAATATGCTAATTAGAGTGGATGTCTTTCTGGACATCATTCCAGATATCCTTCCTGATGAATCTGGGGCCTGGGTGCCTGTGGGCAGCCAGAGGGAAGCCAGCCTGGGTCCTGGTAGCTGGAGGAGGGAAGCAGCCTGGGTCCTAATTGCCTGCTGGTGGCCAGAAGAAGGAAGCTCAGGTCTTGGGTGCCAGAAGGAACCCTGTGCTGGCAGCCAGGGTAAGGAAGGCCTATTCTTGCATGAGTTTTCGTGCATTTGGCCTCTAGTCCTATATAATAAAAGCCTAATATGCAAATTGTCCCCTTGACTTGGAGTTTGACTGCCCACTATGATGTGCACTGACCACCAGGGGGTTGCATGGAACATGGCAGACATCCACAATATGGTGCTGGCAGCAGGTGGTAGTGGAGGCACTGTGGGCTCTGATGGGCTCTGATGAGAGCAGGACTGCTGTAGGATGGTGGAGCTGGTGAGCAGGTGGCGCCAGGCCAAGGGGGGTGCAATCGGGGGCCTGATTGCCTCACCAATCACCCTGCAGACAGTAACCAGCAGTGGTGGCCTGGGGTCTGGCCCTAACTGATTGCCTTGAAGATGGCTACCAGTGGTGGTGGGGAGTGGGGCTACCACCCAACTTTGAGATGCTGAGGGAGCTGGGTGGGGAGGCCCTGGCCCCAATCTAACAACACACAGGCAGGATGGTGGAGCAGGTGAGGGGGCAGTGTGAGGCCAAGGCAGGATGCCAGATGGGACTGCATGGTTGTGGGGCTGCAAAACTGGGGGCTGTGGGTCTGTGAAACTGAGGCTCAATCCCCACAGGCCACTCCAAGGGACCCTACCCATGCACAAATTTGTGCTCCAGGCCTATAGTATTATATAGTTAAATTTGGATTTATTCACCTTAATGATTTTTTTACAACAGCAGTTAAAAGGAATTCTGTTGAAACATAATTTGAGCTTCTATAAGTCTTTTCAAATAGGCTCAGCAATCTTTCTTCTTCCTTTAAATATGGAATCTAGTTTGTTTTTTTTTAACTTAGCGCATTTTATTCTTTTTATTTATTGATTGATTACAGTGTTACATATGGGTCCTTATTCCCACATTACCCCCCATCCCCACCCTTATGCCCTCACCCCTCTGTTGTCTGTGTCCATTTGTTAGGCTTATATGCATGCGTACAAGACCTTTGGTTGATTTCTCCCCCTTACCCCTAGCCTTTCCTACCTTCCCTCTGAGGTTTAATGGTCTGATCGATGTTAGTCTGTATCTGGATCTATTTTTGTTCACCTGTTTATGTTGTTCATTATATTCCCTAAATGAGGGAGATAATGAGATATTTATCTTTATCTGTCTGGTTTATTTTTCTTAGCATAATGCTCTCTAGTTCCATCCATGCTGTTGCAAATGGTAAGAGTTCTGTCTTTTTGTACAAAAGCATAGTATTCCATTGTGTAGAGGTACCACTGTTTTCTAATCGACTCATCTACTGATAGGCACTTAGACTGTTTCCAAATCTTTGCTATTGTAAATTATGCTGCTATGAACACAAGGGTATATATATCCTTTGTGATAGATATTTCTGTTTTCTTGGGATATATTCCTAGAAATGGTATTACTGGGTTAAATGGCAGCTCCATTTTTAAATTTTTAAGGAAACGCCATAGTGTCTTCTAAAATGCCAATCTGCATGCCAACCAGCAGTGAAGGAGGGTTCCTTTTTCTCCACATCCTCCCCAGCACTTGTCATTTGTTGATTTGTTGATGATAGCCATTCTGACAGGTTTGAGATGGTACTTCATTGTCATTTTGATTTGCATCTCTCAGATGATTAGTGACTTTGAGCATGTTTTCACATGCCTCTTGGCCTTCTTCTGTCTTCTTTTAAAAAGTATCTATTTATGTCAGTTGCCCATTTTTTGATTCAGTTGTTTATCTTCCTTTTGTTAAGTTGTAAGAGTTCCCTGTAGATGTTGGAGATTTAGCCCTAATAGGTGATAATATTTGCAAATATGTTTTCCCATGCGGTGGGCTTTCTTATTATTTTGTTGATAGTTTTTTTGTCTGTGAAAAAGCTTTTTATTTTGATGTAGTCCAGTTTGTTCATTTTCTCTTTAGTTTCCATTGCCCTAGAAGCAGTATCAGTGAAGAAATTGCTTCAGCATGTGTCTGAGATTTTGCTGCCTATAGATTCCTCTAGTATTTTTATGGTTTCCCATCTTATGTTTAAGTCCTTTATTTATTTTGAGTTTATTTTTGAGAATGGTGTAAGTTGGTGGTCTAGTTTCATTTTTTTTTGCATGTATCTGTCCAATTTTCCCAACACCATTTATTGAAGAGACTCTTTTGACTCTATTGTATGTTCATTCCTCTTCTGTTAAATATTAATTGGGCATGGTGGTTTGGGCTGATTTCTGGGTTCTCTGTTTTATTCCATTGATCTATATGTCTGTTCTTGTGCCAGTATCATGCTGTTTTGAGAACAATGGTTTTGTAATACAGCTTGATATGTGCTATTGAAATCCCACCTACTTTGTTTTTTTGTTCTTCTTTCTCAGGATTGCTGTGGCTATTCAATGTCCTTTTTTCTTCTTTCTCAGAATTTATGTGGCTATTTGGTGTCTTTTTAAATTTTTTTATTTCGGATGAATTTTTGGAGAGTTCTTTCTAGGTCTGAGAAATATGCCATTGTTATTTTAATGGGGAGTGCATTGAATCTATATATTGCTTTGGTAGTATGGACATTTTAATAATGTTGATTCTACTAATCCATGAACACAGTATGTTCTTCAATCTGTTTATGTCTTCCTCTATCTCTTTTTTCAGTGTCCTGTAGTTTTCTGCCTATAGGTCTTTTTACCTCCTTAGTTAAGTTTATTTCTAGGTATCTTCATTTTTTTTTTGGTGCAATGGTAAATTGGATTGCTTTTTTAGTCTCTTGTTCTTTAAGTTCATTACTGGTGTATAGAAATACCATAGATTTCTTGGTGTTAATTTTTGTATCCTGCTACATTGCCGAATTCATTTATTAAATCAAATAATTTTTTGATGGACTCTTTAGGGTTTTCTATGTACAATATCATGTAATCTGCAAATAAGGACAGTTTTACCTCTTCTTTTCCAATTTTGATGCCTTTTCTTTCTTCTTCCTGTCTCATAGCAATGGCTAATATTTCCAGTACTATGTTGAACAGGAGTGGTGAGAGTTGGCATCCCTGTCTCGTTCCTGTTCTTAGGGGAAATGGTTTTAGAATTGCCCATTGAGAATGATGTTGGCTGTGGTTTTGTCATATATGGCTTTTATTATTTTGAGGTATGGTCTTTCTATTCCCACCTTGTTGAGAGTTTTTATTTTAGGGGAAATGGTTTTAGAATTGCCCGTTGAGTATGATGTTGGCTGTGGTTTTGTCATATATGGCTTTTATTGTGTTGAGGTATGATCCTTCTATTCCCACCTTGCTGAGAGTTTTTATTCAGAAAGGGTTTTAGATTTTGTCAGATTCTTTTTCTGCATCAATTGATATGACTATGTGATTTTTATCTCTCAATTTGTTTATGTGATGTATCACGTTTATTGATTTGCTGATATTTACCATCCTTGCATCCCTGAGATAAATCCTACTTGGTCACAGTGTATGATCTTTCAGATGTACTTCTGGAGACTGATTTGCTAGAAATTTGCTGAGGATTTTTGCATCTATCTTCATGAGAAATATTGGCCTGTATTTCTCTTTAAATATATTGTCTTTATCTGGTTTTGGTATTAGGGTGATGCTGGCTTCATAGAAGGAGTTTGGAAGTGTTTCTTAGTCTTGAAATTTTGGGAATAGTCTGAGGAGGATAGATTTTAGTTCTTCCTTGAATGTTTGGTAAAACTCCCCTGTGAAGCCATCTGGCCCTGGGCTTTTGTTTGTTGGAAACTTTTCGATGATTGCTTCAATTTCTTTAATAGTTATTGGCCTATTAAGATTTTTAGACTCTTCCTGATTAAGTTTTGGAAGATTGTATTTTTCTAGGAATATGTCCATTTCCTCCAGGTTGTCTAGTTTTTTGGAATAGAGTTGTTCATAGTATTTTTTTTTAACAATTCTTCATATTTTGGTGGGGTCTGTTATTATTTCACCTCTTTC